TGTGTGTGTGTGTGTGTGTGTGTGTGTGCGTGCGCGCGTGCGTGCGTGCGAGTGCACGCGCATGTGTTTAAGTGCGTGTGTCCATTTTGCGTGTCGTGCGTTTTTATATTTTAAAATCTGGACTGTGCTATCTATCTATCTATCTATCTATCTATCTATCTATCTATCTATCTATCTATCTATCTATCTATCTATCTATCTATCTATCTATTGTTTTAGGAAAGTCGGGATATTTGAGTCTCAAAGTACTGAATGTACATTAATTAAAAATTTTTCTTTGTTTCCCCTACTCTGCTCTAGCCCGGCCTGTACGTGTTCCAGTTCCACGCCCTCTCCCACAGTAACAGCAACATGTGGCTAGAGCTGCACCACAACTACAACTACGTAGCCTCTATTTGGGGACACGTCGACAACGACTACGCTGCTGCAGGTACTTTAGTTTAATTCTAGTAAGCGTTTTACGGCACTTGCAAAACAGGTCATAATACGTGTAAAAGTCCCGAAGATTAGAGGTATTACAAGAAAGTAATAAGACACACACACACACACACACACACACACACACACACACACAAACACACACACACCCACACTCACACTCACACACACACACACACACAAAAGGAGGAGAAATACGGATGATTAAGGATGACTGATGATAGGAGAGAAGGAGCAATTATTTAAACTACACGAGAGCCCCTGCCAACCACCTGCACCGCAAAATCAATCACATATCATTATGGTCGATGTGATAATCCGGTGCATGGAAGAGAGAACTGGCCAGAACACACAGACACAACTTAGATCCTTTGGAAGGCGGGCTGCTTCATCCATGCTTGCCAGTGCAAACCCGGTCTGTTTGTGATACAACAGAGACACACAAATTCATTCAGTACAAAGTCTTTGCCAATCAGGAATTGGGATTTTGTCTTTCGCCTGCAAGGAACAGGACGTAACAACCACACACACACACACACACACACACACACACACACACACACACACACACACACACACACATACACACAGACAAAATACATATTATTATACACATAAATACACATTCACACAAGAACAAAAACGTACAAACAAACAGACATACAAACAGACCTATCATTTTCTATCCACTTTGGGCTTATTTGGAACAAAAAATCATTTTATCTGATCAAATTCGAACAGGTGTTCCTCTTTGCGATGATCCTGTCTATCATCATCAAGAACCCAGCAGAGGACAAGGAAGATGAAGAGGAAGATGAGGAAATGCCGCACATGGACCAGGATAACGAGCTCCTTCATGGCGACATGGCTGGTAAGATAGGAAAATGCTTGGCTTGTTTATCAATCTATCTATCTTCTATCTATCTATCTATCTATCTATCTATCTATCTATCTATCTATCTATCTATCT